CTGTGAAGGTCATGAGCGCCTGCTCTCGCGCGATAGCTAGCAGACTACTTCAGTTGTATAATAAAATTGATGTAGTCCCGTCATCATCAGTCATAGACTGTTGTAGTCGTAGGGTCATTGTGCAACTAAAGCACCTGACCAATTCACTCCACATATTTGGATTGAAAGCCGGAAATATCCATTCATGTGTAGCGGGTCTTGGGCGAGTAGTTCTAGTGGAGCACATCTCTCTCCAGATAAACCCATAGCCGATGTTCCCCAAAGTTCGCCTTAGTCACGGACACAGGCGTTAACACCATTGGGATGGGGGACACTATTCGCCTTATCCGTTGACTTCAGTCTAGGAAGCACTCCTTCATCCAGTGATGCTGTATCATTGCATTCGCTGCATAGGAAGCTATGGAGTCCAGTCTACTCATTGCGCTAGATGACTATTCAATGTACGAGTTCAAATTCCAGTTGAGTTCATTACATTCACTTACAAAAGGTATGAATACATTTCTTCTCCCCTAAATAACAGGACAGATTGGACGCTACAGCCATGGTTGTCGACCAGTAGAGGAGAAAGAAATTCAATTCAAATTAGCTTGGAGATGTTTGCCTTGCCCAGGCGGTCTTTTCTAAGCTGCAGTAGAAGTGGTACTCCTACAATCCTAGAGATTTACGGGATTCGCGGGATCGTGATTTTTGTTAAAGAGAAAACAGTCAAGATAGAGATGGGCGAAAGCCAATTTCACAAGAATTATCTCACTTTATATTACATTTGTTTTTATTCTGTTTTTCTTAAGTCCAACATTCAGTGAAGTTAAAAGACCGTAAGGTTAATGATGATCTCGGAAGTAATTCCAGCTTGGCCGGCTCTGAGTAATCTGGTAATATTAGCGATATGAATCTTATTTTATTTCCTTTTCGGCGAGAAAGGGATTTATTGCCTTCAGTTGATTTGTTAGCGCATGTTATGTCTAACATTAATACTCGAAATCCGTCATTTAAAAATTTTTTTTGATATAAATATATATATATATATATATATATATATATATATATATATATATATATATATATATATATGCACATTTCATTGAATACGACAGACAGGGTGCTTTGATTTTATTTTTTTTTTTATACGATTTCTCATGCGATCCAATAATTTTCTTTTCAGATGAGAAATTATATAAAACTGTCCGAATGTTTTTTTCCGAGCGCTTTTGGCTATACATTTAGCCATTTTCAAGGATGAAATATGAAACTTAAATAAGAAACATTATGTAAATACATACATGGAAAAAATTTCTTATTTAACAGTTAAAATATTTCATCCTTGAAAATGGCTAAATGTATAGTCGAAAGCGCTCGGCAAAAAAGAATATTCGGACAGTTTTTATATAATTTATCATCTGAAAAGAAAATTATTAGATTGCATGAGAAATTGTATAAAACCTAAATAAAAGCATCTTGTCTGTCGTATTCAATGAAATGTGCATGAAAGAAAGATTGCTGCCTAAATACACACACATGCATACATGTGTATTCATTTTGACCTAAGAAAGGCAATAAAGCCACTAATAAGCAAGGGTTTACTGAGTATGAGAGAATAAGAGAAAATACTATTATGGAGAAAGGACAATAAAAGTACAAGTATTAAGAAGACATAATATAACGATTGTCGTTTCATTTTTAAATTTTTGAAGATCAAAGTTGACTGCAACCAAGAAGCCGGAAGAGATTTGCACAAGTGAGAAGTGCGAGAGAAGGAACTGTTAACATAGAATTTACGGTGACATCTAGTTATTTCAAATGTAAAATGATGAGAGCTTGCCCCCAATCTAGTACTGCGCTTAAAGTCTAGGCACCATAGAGAAAAACTCATCAGAACAATTACTATGAATATATTTATAGAAAAGGCGCAGGGAAGTTACATTACGGCGGTGAGAAAGTGACTGAAACCGAGATGCCAGATCAGAACCAATAACATTGCAGATTCTTTATTTTATCAAGAATCCCCAAATACATAGCAGAAACACAAGACCAGATGTGGCACCAATATTCAAAGCACACACACACATTTTAGGCATCAGTCGGGTTTCGATCCTGGCTTTAGGCAATCGGATGTCTAGCCATACTGATGAGCTGCGATACAGCGAAACAGTGTGTGCATGACAATATATACACCCCCGAAAAATTAAAATTCGGTTGAGCACTTTAGAGGGTAAGCGCGAATTTATAAACAGTAATTCCTACTACTGATAATGCAAATCTCTTCTATGAAGTACTCTGAATCACTGGCGTTTTTATTCAAAAATAAATACGTAAAAATTCACTTTCCTCTCTGCTGAGAGCTGATACTTTAAGGGAAAAATCTTTGACTGATGCCAAATCAGTTGGGTTTCGATCCTGCTTGAGACAATCCGATGTCTAGCCACACTGATGAGCTGTGATACAGTGAAACAGTGTCTGGATGATAATATATACATATACATAATATATAAAATAAAATTCAGTCCAACACTTTAGAGGGTAAGCGCGAATTTGTAAATAGTGACTGCTACTGCTGATAATGCAAAGGTTTTTTTACGAATCGATCACTCTGAGTCACTGGCGTGTTTATTCTAAAAAATGCGTAAAAATTCACCTTCCTAAGACGATTATATTCCAGTTGTTGTCAGATCGAAGACATGTTAAGCACTTTCGACAATTTAAAATTGTCATCTTCAAGGCACAATTTTCTTATATATAGGCGAACGATGTGTAGACCGAAAGATGTTTTTGTAAATTATGCTATTTATTGACATTTGAATATGGCATATGTCTTCCATCTGACAACAACTCGAATATAAGGATCTTATTAATCAAGGGAATGATAGTAATTTAATGTCTCATTAAGTTCTGTTAGCGAAGTGATTTCGCCATTAATTACATTAATATTGCTATTTAATTCTTTGTATAAATTGTTTCTTTATGATATATAAGACAAAAGGAAAACTTATCTTAGCCGACAGATTTCGTTCTCTGAAGGACTTTAACAAGGTAAATAAGATAAGTTTTCTTTTTGTCTTTATTCACATTGTTTTTGTTTTTTTTACAGATATACTCTATCTGAATTTTTATATATCTGGATTATTTAAATAATATTTATTTACTTCTAAACTATATAGTAAACCATTGTGAAAGGCGAAGAAAATTATTTTTAAAATACTGTTTAGGGTTCATTTTTCTATAGGCGGCTTCAGGTCGTTATTTTATTCACCTCATACGCCTTAAAACAGGGTGTATAAGGCGAATAAATATAAAAAAAATAGCGTGTATAAAGTGAATAAGTAATGTTTACTATTAGAATTTAATATTTCCTGCTTAGATTCACTATTTCTCCGAACTTATTCGAGATCTTCCGAGGCAAAGCAGTTGGACGCTAGTCCGAATGAAACGAGGTTTAATAAAGAACGTACATTAAAATAGAAGCGAAGAAAGTGCTGATTCGTTCAACGCCCACAGGAAGGTTAATTAAGACTTGAATTCAAGATAACAGTGCACGACTTTTTTACGTATTTTTGGTCACATAAAAGAGCAGATTTTATTCTTTCTTTACATTTTTATTAGCTGTTTGTATATTTCGTGTACTTCAAAACAACGTTTCGAGTTTTAAATAACACAATTCAAAATGATTTTCAAAAGAAAAAAGATAAACACACGACAACAGCCAAACGGATGTGAACACAACTGTTTTAAAAAAATAAAAATCAGAAGTTGTGCATTTTTTTTGTATAGCCATTATCAATATTTGCTCGTCTTTTAACTTTGAAGCGGAAATTAACCAAATCCAATATCGGGTTGTGTGCATTATCCCCCTCCCCAGACAGCGTCTCTCACATTCTATTAAAAGATGAAGGATCAGAGTTAATGTCTAATGAATCCCAATAGAGAAGCACTGAGAGAACAGGACAATTTTTGTTACCAATTCCATGTGCCGAGTGTTACTAGTCATTTGACTTTTGTTACCGTTATAAGGAAGACTTCGCTTGTAAGCAACGTCAGACTTTTCGCTGCAAGCCTTGAAACCGTCTTTCCTCCCCACCCTTACTCGTCCGTGAGATAATCCCGACACAATGCTTGTATATTATTCTTCTATAAAAGTGATACTTTAATTCATTCTAATTATTTTTTACAATTTTATTAGCTTTTAATTTCAAACAAACTATTTCCTGCCACATAACGAAAATTTAAAAAAAAATATTTTTCCTCGAAAATTAAAATAAAAATAATCTAGAAAAAAATTGATAAAGAAATTATTGAATTGATTTGCTTTTACTTTTTTGTGACGTTGGACGGCTTCGCTTGTCACTTTTGCTATGTCAAGCGGAAGCTCCTTATCACTTCCTAAAATGCTCGTTATATTCGGGACTTCGTGGATGCTGGTACTAGTAGTAACGCCTAATAATGTCTGCACTAGTAATACTTGTTCAAGTAGTAATCGCCAAAGAGTATAATGATCAAAAGAAAATCGTAATCCGTATAGTAGTAGAGTAGAGAGCGTGAACGTATGGCAATAGTGGATAGACAAGGTGAGTGGTGAACTGTGATCTGTATAGTGATAGAGGAGAAATAGTGATCAGCGATCATTACGCTATTTCGTATTTATTCATTTGCTTTATGATCACGTGATCTACTTAATAATGGAATCGCCCGTGTTGCTCACTGGCGATCTAGTTTCAAGCTACAGTGTCAGCAACCACGCTTGCTCTTATACAACATTTTTTAAATTTCTTTTCGCTACTCATAAAGCATTTGTGACACCTCCATATATTATGCTCACTTTAACATTAAAAACTTACTCAGATTTAAAAAAAAAAACCCTAAAAATCAAGGAAGTATCCGATTCTAATGAACATTTCAATATTTATTCATTGATTTAAAGATTTATGGAAATATTTTCAGGTCCGTTACAACCGCTTATTTCATGGTAGCCAAGCGATTTCTGTATTCTTACTGTATTTCTAACAGGCTTACGGCCACATCACGTTGAAATACCGGTTCTCGTACATCGAAGGTAAGCCACGTCGAGACTGGTCAGTACTTAGATGGGTGGCCGTTTAGGAATACCAGGTGCTGTAAGCTTTGATTTGTCGTTCGTGTAATGGATAATGGCTTGGAACTGTTAAACAAAAAGCCAAGTTCCAATTCCCGTTGGGGTCTTTATATTCACTTACGGGCGAATACCCTTGGGAAAGGTATGAATCCACCCCTTCTCTTCCCAACTATGGGTTAATTAGTAAGACTTGTATCACTAAACTTTCCTAAAAAATTCTTACAATGTAAAATATTTTCTGGCTTTAAATAACCTTCAAAGAGTTGATAAGCCGTAGAAAACAAATCAATCAATCCATCAATATGTATTTCAAACATTATTATAATGTAGATACCTCTACTAATTCGGTAGACGTAAGGTTTAAAATGAATTTAAAAAATGAAAAAGCTTTCTTGATGTTTTCATTTTAGCTTTAATTGAAAGTTAAGATTTAAATTTTACCATTTGCAGTAAGCAAAATACTCTGTGGTGTATTTCAAACAAATTATATTGATCGGAATCGATTTTTTTTTTTTTAGCAGAATCGATAAAACCGGCCATTTTGACACATTTGTAAACAAAAATTAATTCTCGGTTGCAAATCTTGCAAAAATAAAATATATATTTCTGAAACGTTATCGGAAGAAAATTAGCAAATTTTAAGTTCAATTAATCTGATCTGAAACAATTATTACTTATAGAATAAAATGTTGTATACAAGCATTTAATCACGGGGTCTTGTTTTTCTGACGTATCGATCGATTTATCGATTGCTTAACGTGTTGGCAAGTTAATTATGGTGCAGACGATAAATTTTATGAGGGTTTTCTTCCGTAAACACATGGCCTTTTAATGATAATGTTATGTGCGAACTCGCATGCTTTGAAAAATTAGGACGTTTAAACGCACACCAAAAATCGAAATTCTTTTTAAAAATATTCGGGGTCAGCAGATTATAATAAACTTTACAATATATGATTAGTAAATATCGTTTTACTTAACAATATTTCCTAAGAGTTACGTCATCGAAAAGTTTTTTTTTCTTCAGACAATATTGTCTTGAAAATATATTATTCATAAAAGCAATTGAAAGCTTCTCTAATTAAATAATGTCTTAGTTCTATCGCGTTTTTTATTTTTCGATTCAGAACAAATTTTCGATAAGACGGGGTTCAATTTTGCAAAAAAATTCGGTGATTTAGATTCTTCAAAGAATTCTGCTTTTAATTAATGTAGTCACTAAAAATTATCTTGTTGAATTTCTCAAGTTTTCATAATATTAAATAAGGGGGAGAAACATGTAAAAATATACTTTTACCAAGATTTTCTAATAAAAAAGTTTAAAAAATAATTTCATTCATTTGTGAATAATTTCTGAAAATTTCATTAAAATCCAATAATTATTTGATTTTTGTAAGAATTTCCAAATTAATGTGTTTGTCACCGCAAAAAAAAAAAGACTAAAATTTGCTATGCTAAAAGTTAGTACATCCGTTGACACAAGAAAAACAAGTTTTTTTAATCAAAATTTCGAATGTTTTAAAAAAGAGTAGAAAAATTTAATTAGATATTCAAAAATACTTTGATCCTTCTCTTAATAATAAAGATTTTGACGATAAAACTACGTTTTCATTACATTTGGAGCAAGTTTTCATCACGGTATGCTGATTTCTTTAACGATTTCGTGGCGGTACCTACTATAATGTCAACAAAAATTTTATTACATACAAAAGTACTATCAACATAAGATTCGCGAAATTTTCAATAATTTTGGTGCACCGGAAAAGGGCATTTATTCCCTTCATTTTTCCTTTAGATTGTTACTATTCTGCCATCTTCCTCATCGTAATCATCATGAAACACTGGTAAATGCACATTATTCAGAATTTTATTTTTGATCTTTTGTAGAAAAAAAAAAAAAAAAACAAACAGTTAAAAATGAAAAATGATTTAAAATTATTTAAAAAATATTCACATTCGAGTGTGACATTAAACTTTTCATTTATCGATTCTTCAAACACATCTTTATTTTATATCGTTTTTTTTTTCAGCAACGACCAAAACCTGAAAGTTTTTTTAAAGATCGTATTGTAAAAAGACATTTATTTTTTTTTTTACAATTAAAAAATATAGATTTTTTCCTGTGAAAAGAAAAAAAAATATAGAGTCTATTTTATTAAAATTATCTATCATCAACTCTCCATAAAAATATATTTTGAGTTTTCTTGAATACTTTTAAGATTTTGAACCATATTTTCAATGTGTTCACAATCAATATTAAATATTTCTAATGACGTAACACCTTCTGGGATTGATCTTTATAAAAAAATTACAAAAATTAGGAACATCCCAAATTCACTGATACAGAGAAATCACGAGTATAACAAACTTGAAAATATAATTTAACGAAACTAAAAAAAAAACAAACAAACAAAAAAGACAGATTCAGTATGAAATTCATTTATCAGGTATTATTTTACTGTTACACCCGTTTCATACCCGTCTGTTATTTTGCTTTTTTTCAGTAGTCAATTGGTCAATGACTGAAGTATAGAGCAGAATTGATCATGCGCATTAGGAAATAAGGGAGACGGATGTAATAAAAAAAAAAAAACAATATTCCTCCCAATATAAGGGCATAATGGTTGAGTTATATACGAAATTACAAAGCGAAAGTCCACATTTTCGAATCCCTTATAATAAAAAAGGGAACAAAGTGTCATTTCGTCTAGGAAATGAAGTTTCAAATTTTTCAGTGACTGACTAGGCACAAATCTAACGAAGTTTTCAAAATTCATGATACAGAGCTAAAGACAGCGACATTATCAACGTTAAACCATGGTCCTTTGAACTGAAATGCTAACACGGAGTTAGTTAATCTCTTGTGTGTAGATATATGCCAGAAAAGAGGTTAAACTCAACTCTTTATATTGGCTATAGCATCACAACATTATTTTGTAAATTAACTGGACAAAATGCAATAAGATCATATTTCAAACAATATTCTGTATTATTTTACTATTACACCAGTCTCATACCAGACTATTTTTTATGCTCTTAAGTAATCAACTGGCCAATGAGGATGAAGTAAGGCTGGATTTGATCATGTGCATTGGGTCAATAAGGGAGACTGGTGTAGTAATAAAAAAAATACCATTTATTAATGAATAAATCCTGAAAATTTTAATGATATCGGATAATTCCTCGATTTTTGTTGCATTTTTAAAAACAGAAGATAACGTTTATTTTTTCGCGCGTGGAAAGTGATTTTAGAAGTTCCTTGCAGTATCTCTGGTCTAATGGATTACGGTTCAGAAAGAGAAATTGGAGATCAGAGCTCGAATTCGATCCGAGCCCGTTACATTCACTTACGCGCAAATACCCTTGGGAAAGATATGAATCCATGTGTTCGCCCCTAGTTATGGGTTAAATAGCAGGACAAACCTGGTTCTTTAGCTTTGGTTGGCAACAATTCTAGAGATGGTGACTCGATAAAATCTCCCAACAAGCCTAGACCACTCGTGGGAATGCATCGGCTCGTGAAAAACGCACAATGAATGAAATTCTTCAGTGGAGATAGCGTTCTTTTTTCATTGAACTAAAATATTTTGATTCCTTTTCGAGTAAACTCAGAGCTTCAATCAACTTCTAAACAACATATATTTATTTTTACAAAGTTCAGGCATTTTGGGCTCAAGTGTAAATGTTAAGGAAATGCTGAGGAAATCAAATATTAATTAACATTAGAATCATTTACCCAACTCTGCACGTGAATTGTTATCAAAGGACGCTATAGGTTAATGTAGAGAATTTATGTTGCCAGGGAGATGCTGGGAGAAAATCGAAATGGTTCCTTACCTTATAATTTGCTGCTGCGCTGGTCGAAAAAGAAAAGAGAATCCTGGTGTTGCGTTGCTTTATATATACTTTGAAAATAGGCGGGAAATATGTTAATTATTCAAGGGCACATAACTCTTGATTTACTAAACATTTACAATAGTAATATTAATATGTTTGCAGCTAAATTAACCATGAAATCTTACCAGCATGGGAGGGGGATTTCTATTACTAACATTATTTTATTTTGTTTATCGTAGATAGATCTTGTTTTCATTGTAAATATTCATTGGAGTTTTTAAAAAAAATTTAAAGTTGTTATTTTATCCTCCGCACAGACAAATTGTAAATATGGAGACGAATTAGAGTCTCCGAGTTATGGTGGCTGTAGTAAGAATAGTGCATAAGAATGTGTTGCATTGGTGTAAGGATTATTGTGGTATGTTTTAGTCAGTGATTGTGACTAGCTAAGTTTAATTGTAAGACAGATGAAGACCAGCCTCCCCCACTTCCTATTTTGGCCTCGTGGCACATTTGTAGGTTTTTTCTCACAATAAATATGAAAACTTACCAGCGTTTAATAAAGAGATCTTGGTTAGATGTTGGTTTATTGATTAGCTATTTTAATGTGTAAGGTTTCTTACGGGAAAATAAGGTGGTGAAGGAGAAGACATGCAGAAAATAAGAGAATAATTGATTTGAAATGCAAAGATAACATTTATTAAAACAAACATTAACAAAAGGAAATTTTAAATCAGGTATTTCTTTTGTTAGACGTAAATTGTACATACAACGAAATGTGCATTAATATGTTATAGTGGGAACTTTGTTGGTGTGTTTTATGGGTGAATCGTTCGCAGCTCTTTTATTTTCAGCGTTGATAGTTCATGACATCAGTTGGAAAGAGGAAACCTGGAAGGCGAGAGAGTTACTTTAGGGTTCACGTGTTTTTACATTCGAGAGGTGTTGCTGATATTATGTTTAAGGGCACTACATCGGTATTGCCCAAGTGGAAATATTGAAAAACAACTACTGAAAGCTTTATTCTTGCCAAAATTTACTTTATTAATTTCTATTTTGTGCTCAAGTTTATATGGACCCAGTTTGTTGTGACAAAAAAAAAGACTACTACTAGAGCAACAATAATAATAATAATAATAATAACAATAATAATAATAATAGCGAAAATGTTTCATCTAAAAATTAACAATGAGTGAACGTAATAATAAAATACGTATATTTTTATTTTTTAGTTTTTGACTAGTTTCTTCATCTTAAAAAATATCCCAATGTTTTTAACGGTTATTGGTACGGAAGATGAAACCAGCGAGCTGAGTTCAAACTGCGACCTTGACTGCTGTGTTCATTTTTGCACAAATATCCTCGGAATGGCATTTTTTCTTCTCTCCATGCTTTAATTAAAATAATAGGAGAGACTGAGGTCCTGAAGAATATATATGTACAAGAAGCGTGTTTAAATCTTGCCCGATGCTAATTCTTTGGCCTACTCCCGTACGATCACCAAAGTTAAGCCATGTCGAGTCTAGTCAGTACTAAATGGGTGACTGCTTGGGAATACCAGGTGCTGTATATTTGGACGTATGCGTGGTGTAATGTATAATAGTACGGTATTGTTAATCGGAGAGCCGAGTTTCAATTCCCGTTGGATTCGTTATATTCCCTTACGCGTAAATACACCTGGGAAAGGCATGAATCCACTTCTTCTCTTTACAGATATGGGTTAATCAGTAAGATTTATCATTGAATTATTATTATCTTGAAAAATATTCGTACAATCTAAAGATCTTTCTGGCTTTAAATAACTTGCAAGGGGTTGATAAACCGTGCTAAACGAATTAATCAATAAATTAATTACTTAGTTCATTTGGATTAAATTCTTTCAGTTTAAATCACAGAAGAACCCCGATCTATTCGTTAAATTAAATTGGGGGAATTTAGACCGAAGAACTTAAAAAATTGAACAAGATTTGAACTCGCCTCCCGAGTTGTCATAAAACGTAACACAAACAAAAAAAAAAAAAAAAAAAAAAAGGAAAGAAAAAAGAAAGAAACGAAGGAATAACTCATGTTGCGTTGTTGAACAAAAACAACTCGTTTATCTCAAAACAATCCCATAAAGTACGACGCACTGTTTCTACAACATCGTCGAATTGAAGTCTGGACGATGTGGTATGTTTATCCATCAGTGTAACCACAAGTATGCAAATGACCACTTTGATTTTTCAAGTTCTTTGCAAAGCACTTGTCAATCGGCTTGAGTGTTTATTTATGATGAAAAGCACTATTTTTACACATAACGAAAGCAACAGATTTGATAAGTGGCCTCAGCTCAGTGGGGGGTGGGGGGTGCAAGAAGAAAAATGACTACGGTGAGTTTTTTTTTTTTTTTTTTTACTGACGCTTTCGTAACTTTTCTGGAACTGAAAGGCTTTGGACGTCGAAAATTTAAAACTGAAATCTTGAAACATTCGGAGACAAATGCGAATTCCGAGCAGCTTTGAAAGAAAGTAATGGTAGTTTTTCTTTGTCCTATTCGCAAACAGTGACTCTATTTATAGAATAGATAGAACAGAAAAAAAAAGAAACTTAAAGGCACTTTTCAGATTGTTTTGTTGTGATCGTAACTCACACACAGACGCACACGCGCAAACATGTACACAGGTACACACGCGTGCACACACACATACACAGACACACACGCGCACGTACACACGCGCACACACAGACACACACATTGTACAAAAAATACTCTCTACACACGTGCGCCTTTCAGTAATGTACTTTCGATAGACCAATTGTGGTAAAACTAACAGGGATATTTGTTTCCATCAAAAGAGAAAACAATTTCCAAAGACGAATTAGTTTCGAAAGTGTCTTGATCGCAACGTCATCCATTTGCGCCTTAGTTCTTACAACATGTCACTATTATTGGCAGATCTTCTATTGTCACAGTGTCAGACAGTTATGTGCCATGCGTAATACACGCTTAGGCGATCATGTATCTTTCGATACATGACTGACGAAGCAGATTTTTTCCCGCAGTAGTTTGCCACTTCTTTCTGTGGTAGACCAGATCCCATCCAAGGCTATAGAACCCAATCTGTCCTGCTATTTACCCATAGCTGGGGGGGGGAGAAGAAAAGGATTCATACCATTCTCAAGGGTATTCAGCAGCCTTTTGTCAAAAAAAGACTTACAGGAAAGGTGCTGTGCCAAATGTGTTTACTAACAGTTACCATGTGTTTAAAATCTTGCAAGTGAAGTATTCTCATATAGGCCAACATTTGATGTTGCCCATGCTTACTGCTTTCATCAAATTAAACTTTTTCAAAAAGGACAAGCTGAAAATGGCCATACTGGAAATGGTTTGGAGGATCCTTGCCTAAATGGTTTCATGTGCTGGTGGCAACCAGATGGAATTTATGGTTCCATGTGGCCAAAAATCACAAGATATATGTGCAATTTTATGAAGGAATTTAAACAATAAAAGGCCATGTCCTAGCAATAGATAGAATTCTGAAGTTGTCAACAATCATGTCCTAACAGTTGATACCTCAATCAGCATTCCATTAATGAGAATTGAACCCATTTAATGATAGTCTGATCAGTTGATCAAAGACTAGTCATCATGCAAATGGTGACTTCAGTCAGTTATGTGCCATACGTGATACACTCTTAGGCGATCATGTATCTTTCGATACATGACTGACGAGGCAGATTTTTTCCCGCAGTAGGTTGCCATTTCTTTCTGCGGTAGGCCAGCTGCTATTCAAGGCTATAGAACCTGGTCTGTCCTGCTACTTACCCATAGCTGGGGGGGGGCAGAAGAAGAGGATTCATACCGCTTTTTCTTCCTACAGAAGAAGAACAAAAGTGATGAAAACAAAAAGAAACTAAATGAAGTCTGCTAGATATGTATGTGCGCGCGTGTGTGCGTTTTGAGTGATTATCCTTGAAAGCATGACTATTGACGCCGCTAGAGAGCGTGCCATTCGCTGACTATAACGTTACCGTCATTCACGATGAGTAGAGCCATTCTTTGTAGCTGCAGAATAAAATGGTAACTGAACGAACAATTGGGCTCAAAGAATGTCAACAGCTACCAGTTTGTTAAGCCTTTGTCTTTGAGAAAAATTGCCCGCCCACAGTCATCGGCATGCTCACTGGTTGCATTCCACTTAATGTTTGATATTTCCTTTTTAGATAGCAATTCTTGCGAAATTTCTACTTTTAACCAAAGTCTTTTGCCTAAGACTTGAGCTGGCGAATGTATAGGATCGTACAAGCCATCATTATCGGTTCTACATGAAGTGGGGATGTTGCTTACAGTGTTAAGCAGATCAAAAATATTTGTCCTTTTCGTCATTTTTTTTCGATTTACACTCCTTAACCTTTTCTCTCTTGTTCTTTTTTCCTCTTTTCTTTCAATTTCTGCTATTTGACTTCCGGTTTTCTAGACATATGCTGCCGTTGTTAATAGCAATAACAAAGATAGTGTAAAGCGAGAAATAGCACCACTCAGTTGAAGTCTGAAAGAGAGGGCATTCAAGGCAAGCAGTATTTGCAATAAAGTGTTGGATATCAAGAACAGATCAATAATAGGATTAACTAAGTTCATGTGTGTGTGTGTGTGTGTGTGTATATATATATACGTATGTTAATAAATATATGTATATATATTTGTATTAATCATATATATATATATATATATATATATATATATATATATATATATATGAATAACATATATATATAAATGCATGTATATATATATATATATATATATATATATATATATAATTTAAAGAAAAAACAACTTAAAGGCTCCATTTGTAATAATTTATTTCACCATATTCATTTTATTTTCTCTGGATCTTCACTTTCAAAAGGTGGAACGAAAATATATATATATCAGTCAGTTATGTGTCATGCGTGATACACGCTTAGGCGATCATGTATCTTTCGATACATGACTGATGAGGCAGATTTTTCCCCACAGTAGGCTTCCATTTCTTTCTGCGGTAGGCCAGTTGCCATCCAAGTCTATAGAGCCCAGTCTGTCCTGCTATTTACCCATAGCTGGAGGGAGAAAAGGATTCATACCTTTCCCAAGGATATTAGCACATAAGTGAATGTAATGGATTCGACTGGAATTCGAACTCCATTACATTCACCTCTGTGCTAATGATACCCTTGGAAGGGTCTGAATATATATATATATATATATATATATATATATATATATATATATATATATATATATATATATAAAGAAAGAACAGTAAGATATATAATCCGGTGTTCTTATTGATATTTTTACAAAATAGTGCTTAATGTAAAGTTACAGAGCATTAATAAATTAACTGATTTAAAATATGTTTGTTTTCGCTACACAGTAATAACCATGTTTCAAAAATGGAAGCTAAAATCTTCGAATTTAATTTTGTAATTAAATTAAAAATATTAGTTCCATTTCATCCTCAAGCGAATTTTGGAGTAAATTATTTTTAAAATTTACTGAGTTTTAAAGGCACAGAAAAATTCATAATTCACTGTTTCCAAGGATACAGAGAGATCCAATCATTCAGATAAGGGGTGGTAACGTGTTCATTTATATTAACTTTTGTTGTATCAGTTATTAGTTACGTTCGAAAAAGGGGTTATGTTTAGGTAGGGTAGGGATGTATTTTTCAACGAATTCTGACATCCTTTAAATGCATGTCGTCTGGGTTTTTTTAAATTTTATTGTTAACGGCAAAAAATTCTTACTGCACTTTTTCTATTTGTATACTTAAAGATTTTTTTTTAGGATACGTTTTATTTAAGTACAATTTTAAAATATTTTCACTTTTAATTTTTAATAGACTATATTTCTTTTAAAACAAGTAAATGTACTAGAATTACTTACAGTATATAAAATTATTTTTTCATATCAAGTATAATTAGCTATGTATATTACCAGGTCACATTTTTAAAAAAAATTATTTTTAAATATTATTTAAGGAAAATTTTTGACAATGAGGGCAAAAAATAGAAAATTTATTTCTCTGATTCAGTACGCTTTTATTTTTTATAAACTTAGTAATATATAGTTTCTGATATATGTACAAAGGACATGGGTCATTTAATGGCCTACATATTCTAGCTTTTCTTATTAATTTCATTTTACTGTAGGTGTTTTATTGGATTCTATTAAGTGCTAGACGTACTTTGAGAGAGATGTTTAGGTTAGAATATGTTTTATTTAGGCACAATTATAAAATATTTTCACTCTTAATTTTAATATACTGTAATTCTTTTTAATATATATATATATATTAAGAAATGGACAAAGTCCGACAATTTATTTATTAAAGACATTTTTATGTTTAACGTTCTTTTTATAGATACAAGTATTTAAGTAAATGCTTTGTTTATAATAAACAGTATTAAATAACATTTACCGACCTGAATGTCCGAGAAATTTTCATAGAAAATATTCGTTCTTTGACAGGATTCGAACCTGCATCCTATACGGAACCGTCATTTACGCTGACGTGCCTTACCGATCGGCCACAAAGAAGCGTTCGG